TGTGTGTGTGTGTGGATGTATGCTGTAGAAGAGTATATATATGTGTGTGTGTGTGTGTGTGAGTGTGTGTGTGTGTGGATGTATGCTGTTGAAGAGTATATGTGTGTGTGTGGATATATGCTGTTGAAGAGTATATGAGTGCATGTGTGTGTGTGTGTGGATGTATGCTGTTGAAGAGTATATGAGTGCATGTGTGTGTGTGTGTGTGTGTGTGTGTATGTATACTGTTGAAGAGTATATGGGTGCATGTGTGTGTGAGCATGTGAGTGTGTGTATGTAACAAGAATATGAGCACACATTTGACCTGTTTGATAGAGCAGAGAGGGTACAAAGCTACATCATCAACAGAGTGAAAAGGGAAAAATCATCAGAGATATTGAAGTATTCAGGATTCTATATCAATATTGTCTCGAAAGTGGATATACATCCACTTGTTTTTTAAAGCGCTCATATGCACTCACACACACACACACACACACACACACACACACACACACACACACACACACACACACACACACACACACACACACACACATTCACTCAAATACACTCACACACACACACACACACTCATTCAAAAATTGCAAGCGCCGTAAAACCCTATACTACTACTAGAGAAATATTTTTCTATACAGCCGAGTAAGCTTGATAAACCAAAATCTGTGGAACCACCAGATTTTCTTCAGCTTAGCCCTGGTTTCCACAGACAGCTCTTCAACAGGAAAAAAAAAATCAGGGATTCTATTTTCTTTCCATTTATCACCAAATAGCTATGTTCAGGTTCAGCAAACTCCACATTATTTCCTATTTGTTTGGAGCTGTCATTGATTCACATTGGTTATCTACAAAAGTAGAGGACCAATAAAAAAACTGATTCTTTCTAATGAGATGTTATCAACATTGCTGCATATTCCTGGATACTCAGTCTGTACCCTCTATTTCAAACAAAGCCCCCCCTCCCCTACACACACATACACACACACAAACACACACACACACTCAATCAATCAAATACAGTCACATACACACATGCACACACACACATACACACAAACACACACACACACACACACACACTCAATCAAATACACTCACATACACACATGCACACACACACACACACACACACACACACACACTCATTCAAATACACTCACATACACACATGCACACACACACACACACACACACACACACACACTCATTCAAATACACTCACATACACACATGCACACACACACACACACACACACACACACACACACACACACACACACACACTGATGAGACGGCCTAAAAAACTTCATCCTAAATAAGTTTACTAAGCAGAATTAATCAATACGAATTCTTTGCTTTTAATTATAATTATGTGACATTTTCATCCCCTCCTTATGACCTTCTTCCTTCCTTTCTTCCTTAGCTGTTATTTCTGTTGCCTCTTTTTCCAAAACAGCCAAGTGGCATTTCACAATAATAAATCAATTTGGCAACCTTTAACTTTAACAGTATTCAGTTTCATGACATTTCTCACAGATGCTAAAGTGACAAATCTGAAAAGTAATATTCAACATTGAAATGATCCCCTTTCAATCATCTCGCCTCAGTTTACAAAAACCCCACCAAAAAACATAAAAAAGTAAAGAAATATGTCAAAACTAGGACAGAAATGGAGACATGCTTAAATGGAAATAAAATTCAACGAAAAGCTTTAAAAAAGTCTGATAGCAGCAGCACAAAGGTATGAGGTGTCAAATTATATATTCTTTTTTTTAAAATAGAAGACGCATTGTTTCAAGTCAATGCATGAGCAGTTTTCAAAACTGATATATATAAAAATTGAGAACATCCCATCCAGGTTTAATACTTTTTTAGTTTTAGTTTAGTTTTAGTAAGGTTTTGCGGCACTCGCAACTGCATAAAGTCATATGAGCACCAGAAGATTAGAGGTGTTACAAGAGAGTAACAAACATAAAAAAGAAGAAGGGGAGATAAGGACGATAGATGTTTGATAGGAAAGAAGAAGCAAACCACACCAGAGCACCCGCGAACCACCCACAATACTTTTTTAAAACAGAAACGATCACGATCAATTCCTATGGTTGGTTTGAGAAAGTTTTCAAGACTTTCCACCAGCTTTGCTCAGTCCTTATAAATGCAGAATATACAGTCTAACCTGCTCTAAAGACCACCTGTGCAAGACAATCACCTGTACAACAAACAATAGATTCCCTCTTCCCCACTTGTGGTTTTTGAAAATTATAATGACTTAGTCCATGACACCCACCTATCTAAGACAATCACTTTTCTCCTCAAAGATGGATGGCCGTTGTGAACAATTTTGACTCAACTTTTAAAAAAAGTTTTAGTAAGAGTTTTACGGCACTTGCAACACAATAAGGTCATATAAGTGCTGAAAATTAGAAGTGGTTACAAGAGAGTAACAAACACAAAAAAGAAGGAGGAGAGATAAGGTCAAGGATCACAGATGTTTGATAGGAAAGAAGGAGCAAACCACACCAGAGCACTCGCCAACCACCCACAGACTCAACTTTGTATTCAACACATGTCCTTAGGAGTAGTGACATCATCTCTTTTTTTATGATTCCTACAACATTCATGTACCCTGCTGAATCCTGTGAACATAGCGTCTCAAGTCTTTAAAGAGAGTAATTAATGCTCAGATGACACTTTTAGAGGCAGATTCTGATGAAGCACTTTTTAAAGATAAAGATAGAGTTTTAAAAAACATGAAGCACACATAAAATACTGCTTTAGTTTAAGGAAGAGTTCTACAGCACTTGCAACACAATACGGTCATATACTAGAGAGTAACAAACACAAAAAAGGAGGAGGAGAGCTAAGGATGAAAGATGTTTGATAGGAAAGAAGGAGCAAATCACACTAGAACACCCGCCAACGACCCACCATAACTAATGCGATAGATCCTCGAAAGGATAGGGACCTTTTATTTCAACAATGAGGAAGATAGGGAGGCAGAGGCCAGTACTACTGTGGAGAGGATGATGCTTTTTGGGAATACAAAAAGGAAGCGGAAAATCTGGCATCATTGCAGGAAAGAACAGAAGAACGTTCAACCAGAAACGAACTGGTACAATCAGTGGAAAGACCCTTGGCGACATTTTGGAGAGAGCAACGGAGCATCAATGGACATGTCCTGAAAGCAAAGACGTTGCTTCATGAAACAATGAAACAATGAACAATTTCAACGACATGAACATCCAAACAAGAAAAAGTCCTTACGATCTTTGGCTTGAAAGGAGGAGGTATCTGCCTGGCCTCCAGCTTCTCCCAGTCGATGTTGCGGAAGAAAGCCTGCGAGTTGATTGGTCCAGCTGCACAGGTGGGCATGCCCAGTCTGTCTGGCGGGTTGCGCTCAAAGAGCTGGGGATGAGAAAGGTTGCTTTGTTTTGGTAAGTGTTTTACGCGCTTGCAACTGCATACAGCTATACAAGCCAGCGGGACACATTAAACATTTTCAGGTCGGTAGTCATTTCCAATTTTGCCTGGGCAGCGGCCGAGGCCAACTCTTATCAAATTTTGGTACCACCAAGGAATCATTACTGTGCACAACTTACGCACAGGACCTCCGAGATATTTCACAATGAGAAAAGAATATAGAACGGAACTGCATGTTTTTAGTTCTCTGTTTTTCTCCAAGGTTGCAAGTGATGCTGTAAAAAGATTTAGCCAACGAACCATATGTTTCAGCAGATATGAGCACAACTTAAGGAAATGGAAAGCTATTATTTTTGTCGAGTTATGGTGTTTGTTATCATTACAAGTTCGATGCTATTATTTCCTTTACTTTCCTCTCTCTGCTATGCTCACAAACTGTGGTAGCCAGCGAGGTCTATAACTTCTCTCCCTCCTTGGATGTTGAAGATCATCATCGGTTTCTTATGGATGGACTGTTAAGGAACTTATTCAAGAGAGCATTATCTTCTGCACAGAATACAAAAAAGGTACGGTTAGTCACAAATCAGGGTAACAAAAGCAGACCCCAGCTATATTAGCAGAGCACAATTTATTTTTTGGGAAGGGAGAATTTTAAAAAATATTTATCAAACACTATTAATTTATCAGATTTAGACTGAAATGACAGTGAGAAAACTCTGCTGATGTTGTTAAAACTGTACAGTTTGCTAGACACTAAATAATGACAATTAGAAAACTCCGCTGATGTTATTAACCCTTCCAGCCCCATGCGTGTATATTTTCAACAGCGCTTGTACCTCCCACCGTCCCAAGAGCGTATATTCTCAGTTTCGGGGAATACCGAATTTGCGCATTTTTCGAAATTAGCGAACCTAATTAAACTTTAATTTTCGTAATATTTGTTCATTTACCTTTTAACATTGTTACTTGTTATTATATGAACCTCATTAGATAGATACCACATCACATTTTAGAATGCATGCCTCTTTTTCTGAAATGCTGCTGTATTGGCTGGGACTGGGGTTAGGGAGTGCACAAAAATGGCTGGGGCTGGAAGGGTTAAAACTACACAGTTTGCTGGACACTTGACAGTGAGAAAACTCTGCTGATGTTATTAAAACTACACAGTTTGCTAGACACTTGACAGTGAGAAAACTCTGCTGATGTTATTAAGACTACACAATTTGCTAGACACTTGACAGTGAGAAAACTCTGCTGATGTTATTAAAACTACACAGTTTGCTAGACACTTGACAGTGAGAAAACTCTGCTGATGTTATTAAAACTACACAGTTTGCTAGACACTTGACAGTGAGAAAACTCTGCTGATGTTATTAAGACTACACAGTTTGCTAGACACTTGACAGTGAGAAAACTCTGCTGATGTTATTAAAACTACACAGTTTGCTAGACACTAAATAATGACAGTGAGAAAATTCTGCTGATGTTATTCAGACTACACGGTTTGCAAGACACTAAATAATGACAGTGAGAAAACTCTGCTGATGTTATTAAAACTACACGGTTTGCAAGACACTAAATAATGACAGTGAGAAAACTCTGCTGATGTTATTAAGACTGCACAGTTTGCTAGACACTTGACAGTGAGAAAACTCTGCTGATGTTATTAAAACTACACAGTTTGCTGGACACTTGACAGTGAGAAAACTCTGCTGATGTTATTAAAACTACACAGTTTGCTAGACACTTGACAGTGAGAAAACTCTGCTGATGTTATTAAGACTACACAGTTTGCTAGACAGTAAATAACAAGCTATTTCCACAATGAACATCTGCCACATCCAGACACAAGTCCCAGCTGAGAGGAACTAATTAACGAGTCTCTACAAATCTGAAAAGTTCAGACATCCCCCTCAGACTCTGACCTTTCTGCATCTTGCTAAGCAGGCAAACAGGAAGAAGTTGATAGATGAAGAAAAAGAAAGCGATAAAAAGAGAGAAGTCGAAGAAAGAGAAGAAGTTAAAGGAAAAAGAAAGAAGTTGGAAGAAGAAGAAAGAAAAAGAAGTGGAGAAAGACATAAGAAGTTAGAGGCAGAAGAAAAAAGTAGGAGGACAAATTAAAAAGTTAGAGGAAGAAAAAAAATGCTGGAGGAAGACGAAAGAAGTTAAAGGAAGAAGAAAGGAAGAAGAAAGAAGTCAGAGAAAAGAGAAAAATGTTAGAGGAAGAAGAAAGATGTTCGAGGAAGAAAAAAGAAGTGGAGGAAGAAGAAAGAAGAGGAGGGAGAAAGAAGATGGAGGAAGAAGAAAGAAGTAAGACGAAGAACAGAAAAGTTGGAGGAAATCGAAAATAGTCAGAGAAAGAAGAAAGGAGGAAGAAAGAAGTCAGAGAAAAGACAAAAATGTCAGAAGAAGAAGAAGGAAGATGGCAGAAGAAGAAAGAAGTTACAGAAAGAAGAATAGAGAGCAAAGAAAACATTAGAGAAAAAAAAGAAAGAAGATGGCAGAAGAAGAAATAAAGAAGTTCGAGAAAAAAAAATGAAAAGCTGGAGAAAGAACAAAAACAACAACCACTCAAAAAATCTCTTCGTATAACTCACCAGACTCATCATAGTGGAGGCCTCACGGGGCGTGGCGTGCGGATACCTGGGCGTGTCGTGGAGGATGGAGTGGAACAAGTCGTCCTCGTCATCCCCGTGGAACGGAGACTGACCAATCAGCATCTCGTACAGCAGCACCCCGAACGACCACCAGTCCACCGACGCGTTGTACTTGGCTCCTTTCAGGATCTGATATCCCACGGAATGAAAACAAAAATTTATGAAGTCGAACCATATATATATATTTTTGTTCTTGTTTTTGTACAGGTTCCATGCCTAATGAGGCATAGATAGGTTATATTCCCAAGGCAGAAACTGTCAGATGAAGCTCGAGAGATCATAAATAAATACTCTTTAACACTTTGTAGTCACACAGTCAGCAGTACAAAATACCCCATCTGGTCAACCAGCCAGGAGAGCGACTGCAACAAATTTCTTGGGCCTGGCGCAGAATCCATTTTCCCCGGCCCATTATTGTACCAAGTGACTACAAAGTGTTAATGAATAAACAAAAACACCACCCCCCTTAAGAATAAACAACCCCCCCCCCCCCTTTCAGCATATTATACTTCCATTGGAAGCAAAACAGTGAAAAATTTAGCTGGTCACTTAAGAATTAAACATAGCATGGCTGGTCATCAAAGGGTTCACACAGAATGGTTTGTCAGTAAATTGTATAAATAGAATTTCTGAACACTCTAGTGTTATACACTTAACGTTTGGTCACTATGGTATGGAACATTTCTATCTTCTTTAAATTTTAAATATTTTTTTAGTAAGGGTTTTACGGCGCTCGCAACTGCATAAGGTCTAATATGAGCGCACAAAAAAAGTTGGTCCTATTCGCAACGGTTCACTGCATCGCCTGATTTTGGGTTAACCACAAGCAATGTAGGCGTACCTCTGGAGCGATGTAGTCTGGGGTGCCACAGAAAGTCGTTGCCTTGTTCTCACCAAAGATCTTCTCCTTACACATACCAAAGTCAGCGATCTTGATGTGACCGTCCTTGTCCAGCATCACATTGTCCAGTTTGAGATCCCTGGACACACACAGAAACATACTTAGTTTAGTTTTAGTAGAGGTTTTACTGCGCTCGCAACTGCATAAGGTCAAGGGGTGGATGTCAACAGAAAAGTCCTTACAGGGAATCAGGCTTACTCTGCTCACCTCTCTTGCTTCATCAGCACAAAGTCTGCTTCGACTATCAAGGCACCCCGGAAATAGCGGGGCACAAGAGTGTGACAAACATGCAAAAGAAGTAGAGGTAAATGATGATAGTAAGGATGAAGAAAGAAAAAGCAGCAGTTACCTGTTGTAGATCAGGCACAGTTGTTATGAGCACACCATTGATGAATCAGCCCATTTACAATTACAATTCTATGGTGCATAAGAACATGGTTAATGTCTCCTCTTTTGGGAATGGCCTAAAGACACTTCAGTCAGTAGCACCGCCCCGGGGATGAAAGATACTTAGAAGATAGGAACGAATTTAGAAGACAGAAAAAGAAAGAAGGCCTATTTACGCCATATTGTATAAGCTTATTGATGTCTTTATTTTTGCTAGCTGCCTGTCAAATACAAGCTGGCTTTAGTAAAGAGGGGGGGTGGGGGGCTTGAGAGAGAGAGAGAGAGAGAGAGAGAGAGAGAGAGAGAGAGAAAGAGAGTGAGATAGAGAGAGAGAGAGAGAAGATAGAGAGGGGAGAGAGAGAGAGACAAAAAGAGACACAGAGGGAAAAAGAGAGAAGGAAAGAGAATGACAGGAAAAGAGAGAGAATGCAAAATCAATACGCTGGTTTTGCTAACAAGTATTTACCTGTATATTATGCCATTCTTGTGTAGATACTGAAGGCCACAAACTATTTCTGCTGCATAGAATCTGAAGAAGAAAACAAAAATTTACAACTCCTATAATTATTTTCTGTGCTCGCATCCCTGAGAAAAAAAAGATAATTGATCGATCAAATCGTTTAACATAAAAAAAATGTAATTTGATTTGTACAGAAATAAAAATTCTATAAGAGCCTTTCTGAATTTTTATTGAACAGTAAGCATTATCAATTTGAACTTTTAAAAAATATTGGAATGTCAATCCAAAAGCCAAAGTAAACAAAGAGAACACACACACACACATACATACACACACACATACAAACACACACACACACACACACACAGACACACACACACACACACACACAGAACATGATTCAATTAATGGAAAGTGCAGTGATTTATACAATTGAATCATCTGACTGCAGTTTTTTCACATAAAATCAACCAAAATATCTCATAGAAAATACCAGAATTTTTTGTTAATGTCCCATTATCACCATCCTTCTCTACCATCTATTCTAGAAAGACCACGTCAAAACCACAGCACATCGTGCATCATAACTTACTGAGCTCGTTGAAATTCAAACTTTCCAGAGACTTGTATATGGAACATAAGGTCACCCCCATTGAGGTACTCCATCACAAAGAACAGATGGCTCTGAGGAGAAAAAAACAAACTTTTAGTTTTAGTAAGAGTTTTACCATCAGGAAACGACAAATGCAATTTTTGGGACACCAGAATAGACATGCTTGAACATCTAGCTCTCACTGGCAAAACTGAGGGCAAACGAGGCAGGGTTAGGCCCAGATATTTACTTGGGGAACCTAAACAAATGGGTAACTGGGAAAGATCAGGGAAACGTAGCGTTTTTGAGATCATCCGAGCAAAGGAATGAATGGAGAACCATGACCGCAGATGTCTGTCGCAGATCTGGCACTGGAAGATGATGAAGAGTTTTATGGCACTGGCAACACCATAAGGTCATACAAGTGCCGAAGAATAGAGGTGTTACAAGAGAGTAACATACACACAAAAAAGGAGGAGAGATAAGGTCGATAGATGTTTGAAAAGAAAGAAGAAGCAGACGACACCAGAGAACCCGCCAACCACACACAATGGGTTTGTATTATATGTTAAATAGAAATAAGCATTGGCTCAATAATGATTATTCAGTGGTTAGTAAAAGTAAAACAGACAGACACACAGAGACAAATGTGGATTACGAACAGCAAGAAAATACACAGGGCCTGCTGCCAGCGACACCTTCCAGCTTCCCGCAACATGAAATTATTCCAGTTTCACGCTGGTAAGTAGGGTGAGTTTACTCCATGGAAACAATAATTTATTATACTCATCTTCAAACATCACTGACACCTGAAGCAAAAAACCCCAAAGAAAACAACACATCCTTCCAAAAGACAAGACATTTTTCGTCCACTTATTCCTCCGGTCAACTAACCTTGCTCTGGAAGGTGCTGTGCAGGTGTGTGAGGAAGGGATGCTTGCAGCCGATGGAGAGGACCCTCTTCTCTATCATGGTACACTCCACGTCGTCATCCTCCAGCACCACGTCTTTCCTCAAGGCTTTGATTGCGTAGAACGTGCCATTCTCTTTCATCTCCGCCAACATCACCTGGGAAGAAAAATGTATGTTGGTTTCTGACCTCATGGTCGTAGTAACTCAAAACGGCTAAAACTGTCAGATAGAACTTTGTAATTCTGAAGTAGCAAATTGTCACTGTAGGTACACCTCAAGGAATAGACAGAAGAAATGTAACGTATTCACAGCATGAAGATAAGGTGTTCATAGCATGAAGATAAGGTGTTCACAGCATGAAGATAAGGTGTTCATAACATGAAGATAAGGTGTTCACAACATGAAGATAAGGTGTTCACACCATGAAGATAAGGTGTTCACACCATGAAGATAAGGTGTTCACAGCATGAAGATAAGGTGTTCACAACATGAAGATAAGATGTTCACTTTACTCAGCACAAAGAAAAGACCATCCTGCCACACCCCAAAACCAGGCAGGCCAATTCATCCCATTTTCAAAAATAATGTAAATACCAAAACTTATGACTAGCTTATAAGTATAGCAATTTTGTCAAATTACTTACATTAAATGTAAATAGGGTGAAAAAATGTTTTTCTTCCAATCGAAGGTGAAAAGGTTCCAAAGAAATGAGTACATTATTATCATTACTAAGCAAAATTTCAACAAAGTGAACTTAATGCCAAAGAAGGGTCCAGCGATAATGGTCCTTCAAAATAATCTCTCGTTATACCGTAGGGTCAACAACCTCGTAGCCTCCGACAGTCTAAGGCCTAAGGGCAAGATCACTCAGTCTCGGCCACAATCACCCTGGAGCTGTTAGACTATTTTACTATTTGCTTCAACAGGAGGTGATAGATCGCTCCACATGACCAGAGTATTATTCTCCTCTCCTCTTCTACTAGAGTAGCAATAACATCTTGAACAGCCAAGATGGTGACATGTTTGTTTTTTAAAAAATGAGCTGTGGACCCTATTTTTAGTTTAGTTTTAGTATGTGTTTTACGTCGCTTGCAACGCAATAAGGTCATATAAGTGCCGAAGATTAAAGGTGTTACAAGAGAATAACAAACACACAAAAGAAGGAGGGGAGATAAAGACGATAGATGTTTGGTAGGAAAGAAGAAACAAATCACACCAGAGCACCCGCCAACCACCCACCCTATCTTCAGGGAGTCATGTTTTGTCCACAATAAGTAGAAGCAATGACTCTTCTATAAGCAGAGGGTCACTCCTCTTTTTGAGAAACAAACCAGAGCAAAAGATCCAGATAAGCACCTGTGGTGACATCAATACAAAAGTTTGCCAACAGAGCAGGATAGTTTCGGTTAAGAATGAGGTATCTTGTACCATAACGTTATATCTGAGAAATCCCACCAACCACCAGACATTGACACACACAAAATCAATGAAAAGACCACGAAACAAAAGCAACATTTGTCACCCACTTTGCCGAAGCTTCCTTTTCCCAAGACCTTGAGGAACGTGAAATCCTCCGGTTTGAACTTGCGAATCTCTACAGCCGGCACCTGAGCAGTGGGAACATCGTCCACATCCCAAACCTGCTGGTAGCTCGAGTCGTCGTCACTCTCCTCCTCCTCGTCCTCATCTGCTCCTATCAAAGACTTCTCCTGAAATATGCAACAACAACAAAAATAAAAAACTTTTCAAGTCACATTTGGTTAAGACAGGTTATGAAAAACACCTTAGTTTGTTTGTTTTTTAGTAAGGAGTTTTACGGCACTTGCAACACAATAAGTATAAGGTTATATAACTGCCGAAGATTAGAGGTGTTACAAGTGAGTAAAAACACAAAAAAGAAGGAGAGGAGATAGAAACGATATATTTTTTTATAGGAAAGAAGGAGCAAACCACACCAGAACACCCACCAACCATCCACAAAAACAATTTGAGGAGGGTTGTTTTTTTTGCTTTTGTTTTTATAACTTTATAAAAATCTGGAAAAGAAAAACTAGGTGAATGCAGTTCTTTCTACCCCTCCTTCTGAAATCTAAAAAACTCTTAGACAGGAACTACTAAAAGCAAAGAACACTACTCTAGGGTATTATTTGAACTAAGTTGTATATGATAAAGTGATTGAAAGCATCAGTTTCAGAGTAGAGCTGTGGTTTACAAGTCAGCAAAATTCAAGTCACATTTGGCTAAGACAGATAAAAAAATGGTAGAACTGACGGGTAGAATAAGTAAAAATAAGAAACTTGAGCTGCTCTCAGTTCTCCACTGATAATAGTCAAACCACGACACCATCAGTGCTATTTTGTACACAATATATATATTTATTGTATGAAACTGATCAGAAGCAACAGAAACCCACTTCCACTTCACTCAGATGCATTTTAGCATATATATTCTAATCATAGGAAAAAACAAGGCAAAACCTTTACGATCTTCAAGCGCATGAAAGGAAATGCCAATTCTGGGGCTAATTTGACAAAATAAAGTAAGTAAAAAAAGTCAGGATATACATATTTAATCTAGAAGATTAATCGGACGAAATAGTAACTTGCATTGAGTACCCAGCTTGAGAGCCAAATGCTTTCCTGTGTCCTCACGTATTCAACACCAGTCAATACTAGGCACACATCATTTATCATACATGTAGCACTTTCAGAGAGAAAAGTATGGACATGAGAGACAGTAATATATTCGCAACACTCCAATATCAGATCGCTACGACGCTAAACGTAGTGATGATCGAAGAGATACGACAGAAATTAAGTTGATTTGAAAGGACAAAAAATGTTTTATCTCCCTTGTGAAAAAAAATGTTATACAGCAGTCCTTGCAGAAGGCACAATAACCACAGCTAATAGAAAGTGAGCATTGCTTTGTGGGGGACCAGGAGAGATGACTTTCAAAATTATGAGGCAGCGTGGTGGAATCAGGCTCTCGTCAAAATAATCAAAATAAAGAAACTTGCATTTTTCCGCAGGTTTGTGAATTTTTATTACATTTTTGTTTTTTGGCTCAACTCTTTTCGTGCTCATTAAAGAACTAATTTCTGTGTGGATTGTTCAGAAAAACGTTGATTAAAGACACAGAAAATGTAAATTTTCAGTTATCACGGACTCTAAAGCTAAGGAAATAACTAACCTTTGGCGGCCATTTTTTCACTAATTTTACCTCTGAAAACAGGTGACCCCCACCTCCTTCTTAAGTAAATATCTCGACTTGTATTCAAGATAAATGGATATTTTTTTCATCCTAATAAAGACAAGTGAACAAGCTTTAAGATGATACCAATAACTCTACATGCCCAAAAATTGACGAGAGCCTGATTCCACCACGCTGCCTCCCAATATCTTTGGATATTGTGTAATACTTGACATTGACTTTTCTAAGCTCATAATCATTCTATGTTATTAAGCATTGTGATCAAAATCCCCAGAACAGAATTAATAAAAGTCCTAAATTTCTTTCTTCGTCCACAGGACAAAAGTTGAAGAGAGAGAAACGAACGGAATGCCAAAGCAAGAAGAGCCAGTATTCAGAGACAAAACACAAAGGACGTTGTTGAACTCCCTGTAGAACCATCAACGGGTATAACCATTAAATCAATTCACAGTGGCAACTTAACTTTCAGAGCACACATTTACTCCAGAAACTCCGAGACAATCATCAAATTTACAGCAAAATTCCCAGCCGTGGTAAGGGGAAGATTCTTCAGATAACACAAGATTTGAAAGAGGGAAAATTATAAAGAAAACGTTTTCTAACCACAAGTCAGATATTCTGCCACCACTAATATGTCTCCCTCCTCCAGGAGTCTAGCTGGCCCATTAAGTGGAAGTAATAAACACCACTAAAGAGAAGATAAACCTGAGGCGGCTAAGTAAGGGTTGAAAACCAAACTTACAACACAAATTTTACACATCAGAGAACGAAGTATAGAGGTCGAAAACCTCAATGCTGAGATGACAAACACTACGAGAAATCATGAATTATACTACGCACACACGCAAAAAGTAGCTGAACGCTTTAACGACTTGATGAGCAAGTTCTATTCAGAGTCAAATTATAAAACTGTTTATCGACTTGATATTTTTTGTTTTAATTTTCGGACAGCTCTCATATATCACCAGGCACATACTCAAAGTCAAGTCACTCACGTACACACTCATATACACATACATACAAACACTCAAACACAAACAAACACTATGCATTTGCTGAAAAGAGGAGCTGATTTTTACCATTGTACCTACTCAATGAGCCAAATCCCGAAAAATAGAAACATCTCAATGAACACCAAAATGAAAGTCCTGAAATGCTATGTTTGGTCAACCCTTCTATATGGCTGTGAATGCTGGACAATCACTAAAGACAGTGAAAATAAAATAGAGGCAACAGAAATGTGGTTTCTTAGGAGACTGCTAAGAGTATCGTGGAAGGAAAAGAAATCAAATGAGGTAGTGCTTGATGAAGCCCACGTGGGACGCTCAATGTTAAAAACAATCAGGAAACGACAAATGCAGTTTTTGGGACACCTGAATAGACATAAGGGTCTTGAACATCTAGCTCTCACTGGCAAAATTGAGGGCAAGCGAGGCAGGGGTAGGCCCAGAACAACATACTTAGGGAACCTAAACAAATGGGTAACAGGGAAAGATCAAGGAAACGTAGCTTTTCTGAGAGCATCCGAGCAAAGGAATGAATGGAAAATCATGATCGCCGATGTCTGTCGCAGATCTGGCACTGGATGATGATGATGACCTGCTCTAACAGTCACCAGTCTAAGACAACAATCACCTATTCAAATGACCACTTCCCATTTCTCCCCTTGGATTTTTTCTACTTAGTTTTAGTTTTAGAGATTTTACGGCGCTCGCAACTGCATAAGGCCATATGAGCGCCAGAAGATTAGAGGTGGTACAAGAGATTAACAAACAAAAAAAAGAAGAAGGGGAGATAAGGACGAAAGATGTTTGATAGGAAAGAAGAAACAAACCACACCAGAGCACCCACCAACCACCCAATCATTTTTTTTTCTACATAATAACGACACTGTCCAAGACATCCACCTGTCAAAGACAACCACTTCTCTCCTCAGAAATAGGTAGCCGTCTTGGACAGTTTTGACCGTACACTTGACTCCTCTATTTGTAAATATGACCTCAGACCAAAAAGCAAAAACTCTTTGTAATACAGGGTGCCCAATGGGGGATGGAATCTGGTCGGGGCAGGGCAGGACGGTTAGCTAGCCGGACTGAGGTCGCAAAGCGGCTATCGTGGAACAAGCCGATCACACCCGACTCATCACCTAAAAAAACAAACGCGTTTGTTTTCAGGCCACGAGTCGGGCGATCAACCCGACCCGACCCGACCCGACCCGACCCGACCCGACCTGACCCGACCCGACCCGACCCGACCCGACCCGACCCGACCCGACCCGACCCGACCCGACCCGCCCAGACCCGATCACATCTGCAACGGGCACCTGGTACAACACTCACACTGGCTGTGGAGGATGAGGTCTGGAGTTGCTTCTTCCTGTCGGGCGTTGTAGAGATGCGGACTTGCTGTAAGGCTTCGGCCAACAGTTTCTGGTTGATGCCGCACAGGTTGGGCATGAACTTTTTGCACTTCTTGTGGCAGTTGATGCCGCAAACTGGGGAGAAACATTCATCATAATAATAATGATAATAATAATAATAAAAATAATAATAATAAAAATGATATAAATAATAATAATAATATTACTAATAATGATAATGATAATAATAATAATATTAATAATAATGAAAATGTTAATAATAATAATAATAAAAATACTAATACTAATAACATCTAATAATAATAAAAAAGATAATAATAATAATAATAATAATAATAATAATAATAATAATAATAATAATAATAATAATAATAATAGTAATATTAATAGTAATAGATAGCATTTGTAGAGTGCAAATTCCCACTCAACAGCAGGCTCTATGCACTTTACAAACAATATTCGGTCTATCTAGAGAAGGAGGAGAGATAAGGACGATAGATGTTTGATAGGAAAGAAAGAGCCAAACCATACCAGGGCACCCACCAACCACCCACGACCTTTGAATTTAACGTCCATCTCCAATATAAGGTAGATAAAAAAAATGGACAGACAGCCTTAAAAGAGTCCCCAAAAACCCATTTGGGAATTCAAACCAGGGCTATTGTGTATTGATCTACCGTTGGGCCAAAACAAAACAAAGTAGTCTGAGTTTAAATAAAAAAGAATTATGTGGATGTATGGCAAAAAATATCAGCAAAAATTTAGTTTCATAAAACTTTTGAGTTCGAGTTGAAGAATTTTCATGACAATGATAAAAACATACATTTGTTTTATATGTACAGAGAGAAAAAGAGATGGATGGATGGATATGTGGATAGATAGATGGATGGATGGATGAATGAAAAGATCAATGGATGAAAGAATGGATGAGTGGGTGGATGAATGAATGATGGAATGGACACGTGCCTAAATGAATAGCCTATATATATATAGGCCCAAACAAACAAAATGTGAGGCAGCGTGGTGGAATCAGGCTCTCGTCAAAATAATCCTAATGAAGAAACTTGCATTTTTTTTTTTTGCAGGTTTGTGAATTTTTCTCTAATTTTATTTTTTGGTTCAACACCTTTCATGCCCATTAAAGAACTCATTTCTGTGAGGATTTTTCTGAAAAACGTTGATTAAAGGTACAATAAATGTAAATTTTCTGTTGCCACGGACTCTTAAGCTAAGGAAATAACTAATCTTCGGTGGTCATTTTCTCACTAATTTTACCTCTGAAAACAGGTGACCCCCACCTCCTTCATTCGCAAATATCTCGACTTGTATTCAAGACAAATAGTTATCTTTTCATCTTAATAAAGACAAGTGAACAAGCTTTAAGATGATACCAATAACTCTACATGCCCAAAAACTGACGACAGCCTGATTCCACCACGCTGCCTCACAAATGTCTGAACAAAACACAGTAACTTACGAAAGGATGGATTAGCTATTGGGGAAAGAGACAAACGTTTTGAAGCATAGCATGATGGATGAGTCAAACAGTGGGCAGAATTTCGCAAGCTGTTTGCACAACAGTTCTCTGCTGTTACCTTCACACTTGAGTCCTTGTCGGAAAAGTCCAAAGAGCATGGAGCCGCAGTGGTCGCAGAAAGTCGGAGACATGTAGTTGTTGATCTTGAACCTGTGAGGTACGTTGATGTTGAACCTCTCTGTCAGCATCTGGAAACATCATCAGATTGTATGAAGTATTCTTGTATCAAGAATGTCAACCATATATATAAGGTTTTAGGTTTTAAATAATTTTTTAAAGAATTATAATTGTTTAAGTTAAGTAAGAGTTATAAAGCACTTGCAACACAATTAGGTCGAGGAAGTGCCAAAGACTAAAGGTGTCTCAAAAGACTAACAAATACACACAAAAAAAAAGAAAGAAGGCAGATAAGGATGATATGGATGTTTGATGCGAAAAAAGGAGCAAACTGCACAAGAGCAGCCGCCAAACACCCATTAAGTATTATAGTTATGTCTCTATGTGCATTGTAGGTATGTCTTTGATATGTCTTAGATAGGCCTACATGTATATCTTTAGTATAATATCCAAAGTATGAGTCCAGTACATTTTCAATATACCGGTACCTTTTTTAGTAGAGGTTTTTCAGCGCTCGCAACTGCAGAAGCTCATATGAGCGCCAGAAGATTAGAGGTGTTACAAGAGAGTAACAAACATAAAAAAGAAGAAGGAAAGATAAGGACGATAGATATTAGATAGGAAAGAAGGAGCAAACCACACCAGAGCACCCGCCAACCGCCCGCACCGGTACCTTGAATATTCCTTAATGTCTTTTTAATATGTCTTCACCAGCAGCCTGCATATGGCAGCAGTTATATAAGACATCATGTCTTATTGAATACTGAGAGGTCAATTGGGTTGTTCTGTACCCAGTTCTGTTTTGGGGAAAGAGTTTTAAGTTCAAAGAGTGGGGAGAAGGGAGAGGGAGACAGAGATACGCAGAGACAGAGACAGAGACAGAGACAGAGACATAGACAGACAGACAGACAGACAGAGTCAGACAGATAGAGATAGACAGAGAGAGAGGTAGAGAGAGAGGAGAGAAAGAGAGAAAGAGAGAGAGAGAGAGGTGAAAACTGATTACATGAAAACTACCTTATTTCACAAAATACTTAGCCAGAGATTCTAATCAGTCTCGCACACATGACAGTTTTCGAGTCCTTAAAACACATTCAAACACAATCACACAGAGACTATACAATTTGCAGCAGACTCTTTACTTTACTTTACTTTACTTTACTTTACTTTACTTTACTTTACTTTACTTTACTTTACTTTCACTTTTCCGACCCAGCCGCCATTTGGGGTCTAGCCCTTCGGTCTGGAATTGCAGCAGACTCAAAAACTCACCATTGTTTCTCTGCTGTCTTTGGCATTTCCAGGACATTTTCCCAGGATTTTGTCGTGACATTTCTTGTGCACAGCACAGTTACAAACTGGAGGATAGAGTACATAAAATATTCTCAGTTTCTGAATGAAATGTGGAAAAAGGAGAAAAAAACAAAAGAAAGAGTTTTCAATATTCACATAATAATAATAATAAAAAATAGCATTTGTATAGCGCATATCCCCGCTCAACAGCAGGCTCTATGCTCTTTACACTATATTATTACCCCAGCAGACCATAGAACACTCCGAAACATTCTCAGCTTCCGCGGAAGCATACAGTGCAAGCTGCGGATTTCACGCGCTCAAACACTATCAAACTGACAAGATCTTTCACTGTCTAGAGCCGGGTACCCATTTCCACGAGGGTGAAGTGAAGAAAGTTCGTGCAAAGTGCCTTTCCCAAGGACACAACGTCGGGCCCCTGACGGGATTCGAACCCACGACCTTACGGTTGCGAGCCCGAGAGCCTAACCACTAGGTCACCGACGCCAATGTTGTTGTCTCTTTAGTTTTAGTTTCGGTAAGAGTTTTACGGCACTTGCAACACGGTAAGGTCATATAGGCTAAGTGCCGAAGATTAGAGGTGTTACAAGAGAGTAACAAGCACAAACATGGAGGAGAGATCAGGCGATAGATGTTTGGTGGGAAAGAAGGAGCAAACCACATCAGAGCACCCGCCAACCACCCATGGTTTTTGTATCTTACACCTGGCTAGATGGGGTTAAAAGGTCATGGAACAACATAACATATCTATCACAGACACTAGGCGTCGGTGGCCTAGTGGTCAGGCTCTCGGACTCACAACCGTAAGGTCGTGGGTTCGAATCCCGCCAGGGGCCCGACTTTATGTCCTTGGGAAAGGCACTTTGCACGAATTTTCCTCACTTCACCCAGGTGGAAATGGGTGCCCGGCTATAGACAGTGAAAGATCTTGTCAGTTTGATAGTGTTTGAGCGCGTGAAATCCGCAGCTTGCACTGTATGCTTCCGGGGAAGCTGAGAATGTTTCTGAGTGTTCTCAGAAGGTCTGCCGGGGTAATAATAGTTGTAAAGCGCATAGAGCATGCCCTTGAGCATGGATTTGCGCTATATAAATGCAATTATTATTATTATTATTATTATTATTATTATTATTATTATTATTATTATTATTATTACTACACACCTACACACCTAGCACAGGACGGAAACCTGCCCCTCCCCTCGACATCCTAAGGATACAAGAGGAAGGAAAAAGTAAAGGAAGCAGTTGTCTCTATATCTGAGGTGTAATTATTCGTGCAATCATATCCCAGTCATTTCAATTAACTCTTGTTTTTGTTTTTGTTTTGGTTTGTTTGTTTGTTTGTTTTTGTTTTACACGAACAAACACAGACAAGTAACAGCTGTTTAGTGCAGCTTAAAAAAAAAAACAGGCAGACAGACAGAAACAACAAAAGGGACAGAGCAGATATGAGACCCCATCCAATCACTCACTCTTTCTTAGTTTACACTGCAGAATGGACACCTAGAAATGAAAAATTCTGTGATCCCGCTCTGTAGATAATATGTAGCCTATCGTTAGATAATATGTAGCCTATCGTTAGATAATATGTAGCCTATCGTTAGATAATATGTAGCCTATCGTTAGATAATATGTAGCTTATCGTTAGATAATATGTAGCCTATCGTTAGATAATATGTAGCCTATCGTTAGATAATATGTAGCCTATCGTAAAAGAATAGCAAAAGCTTGAACCACAAAAAGTCCTCAGGATGAATTCACGGAAGAAAACGTACAAGTTCTTTCAGATAAATACACAAAAACAAAGGCAAATTCAAAGTGTTGGTTTCAAAACCATTGACAGTAGTTTGTGTTTGTTTGTTTGGTGTGCGTGGGTGTGTGTGTGGGGGGGGGGTATATTTTAAAAATTGTGTTTATGTTTTAGCACTATTCAGTTATTTCTGAGCTTGGAATAGATTTTCCATTGGGCAAGCAAAAATTAATCAATTTTGAAGCATGCTGACAAAATGAGTTGCTTCTCGCAGTCCATGGATGGAGACATGGGACAAAAATCCACACATAGGTCAAACTTGTAGATCTTTAACAGATGCCATTTTCTTCCAGTTTAACATTTCTTTTATCATTTCATACAAATGCAGTGTATAAACTCAACCAATAAATTTGACGTATCTATCACCATAGGGATAAAATCTGAGAAGTAACTCATTTTGTCAGCACGCCTCACATATAATTAGGAACTTATCAAAGCAATCCTCCTCGCGAGTATTAAAACCGAGGCCAAACATAAAAACAAGCGGTATAATACGTTATTACTTATTATCGTTCCCAATAAATCAAACAAAAATATGAGACTTACTTTGACACTGGTACCCTTGTTTGTTCAGGCCCCTGGGGAAAAAAAGAGAACAGGACGTTATTTTTTGTTTTAGTGCACGCTTCACGGCATTTGTTCGTTCATAATATTAGGTACCGAAGATTTACAGGTGCTACAAGAGAGAGAGAGAGATAGTGAGA